AAGGTCTAAATCAAGCCTAAATCACCATCGCCTGCTTTATTGACATCGTTTTTCTCAGTAATGGCAACAGACAAAAAGAGCTTCTTCAGCTTGGAAGCGGTTATTACCCAGATGCAGGGTGAGGATGCTGCGTTCAGATTTTGGCACCATTTAGGGCCATTTGCAGCAGTAATGGTGCTGAATGTATTAATATTTCAAAATGAGTAATAATTTAGAAGCTGGAGTTTGTTCAAAGGTCCCTAGAAGGCTCGATTCCATGCTGTTGGATGAGCCACTCTTCACTGGATTAAGAAGTGCTGCTGACGGTAGCTAAACTTGAACAAACAGCTCCCTCTAGTGGTGAACAACGCAGTTTTCACTCTTGCTCACGTCTAAGAGGGACGCACAAGAATAGCTTTCGTAATAACAAAAAACACATTTACATTTTTTTTAATAAAAAACAATGTTTTAGGTATATATTCTTAACAGATTTTTATAGAAATTATTACAAAAAGTGTAACATGACCTTGTCCTCCAAAAAGCATTTAGTAACGATTAAACTACTAAAGTTAAAAAAATAACTTTAGATCGCGTATTTAAAACATGTTAGCTGTGGATGCATTTCTACTGAAGTTCAACTACATAGACTTTCAGATCCAACTCAAACTGTTTAAAAATGTTCTGCTTCAAGATTACCACAGAATAATTAAGCTGTTCTTTTTTTTTTCTTTTTTTTTTTCTTCTTCTATTTGTTTGGTTCCTATATCATGAAATTACTGATGCAGAAGCAACTCAATGTATTTAGACATCTAAATATGGTGAATATGAGAATGTGACGGAGTTCCTGTTGGTATCAGGCTGGTTTGAGCTTTTCAGTACCTGCTGATCTACTGAAATATTCACACACTACCATCCATTGAGTTTACAGAAAGTATTCCCTAGAGGGCAGCAGACGTGTGGATAAATCAGAAATCAATGGAGAAATGGACAAACTGGTTTGAGAAGATAAACCACATCATACATCGAAGCATATTGGCTACAGCTGCAGAAGACGAGAGTCAGTGCCATTCAGAACACAATCTGAAACAAGGATTCATGAAGGCTGACCAAAATTGGACGATTTTGAACAAAAATGTTCTCTGTGTTCGGATCGAAGGGTGAGGATGAAGCGTAAACAACACAAAAGTATGAATCCACCCTTGCTTGTAAGTAACAGTTAGGGCAGGTGGTGGTGTAATGGCATGGGGAATATTTTTTTCTGGCATACTTTGGACCCTTACCTGAGCATCACTTAAATGCCACAACCTACCTGTGTTTTGCTGATGATCCTGTTCGACCCTTTTTGGTCACAACATATTAATTCTCCATGTTAATATTCCAAAAAAAAAAAAAAAAACAACTTTGCTATATCATGCTTAAAAATATTTTAAAAAATGTTTGCGAAATATTTCCTTATGGAACATGAGATGTGCTAAGATAGGATACAATACTATACATGACAACGAAATAAAATACTGTGCTACGTTATTGTCAAAACATGTCTGAAGTATATTTACTACACGTGTTTTATGCAAACATACATCCTCCTTTAAACAGAATCTAAAGTACACATTGTGAGATGAGCAGACAATAAAATTCCAAGGTGGGTAAGGTTTCGTTTCAAGATTGACGGATGCATGAAAACACTTACTTTGTCCTTATAAAACTGTGAGCCCTCTATCTCCTTCTATAATTCAACCCAGACAACTGTGGCTGTGTGTAGTCCCTTTTTTAATTACTGTGCAATTTAAGAAAACCCAAGTCTGTTCATTTTGTGTGTTTAATACATGAAATATCAGGGGCAAAACTGCAACTCCTGGACTTGAGTTGCGTAAAAACACATGATAAATACCCAGTTTTAATAAATACAGCCAATGAGATTGAATGATCTGAGCTCACTCAAATGTTCATGGAACAAATTACATTAATGAAGCAAACATGGATTAATGTATCCAGCCTCGGTGACACCTTTATGTGTGTTTGATTAAACATTCTGAGGTTTGTTTTTTCTCATTTTGCATAATACACCTTTAAATTCTCGCCAATGTGACCCAGCACACTATTAACAACCATAATAAACTTTTTTTTTTAGTGTGTGCATTTACTTTGACTTACGGTCACCTGCTGCCATCTGGCTTGCTGACAGCCAGCGGAGATGTAATCCTTCTTCTAGCTCATAAATCGGTCTAGTGGAGGTTACGTGATCCACAGAGTGAAGCACACTCACAGTACGAGGACGTGCACAAGTCCACACACTGTGCAACCTTGTGTCGGCTTTACAGAAACATGAATTCAGATTCACTCATGCCCTTTGCAATGCCTTTTCTTTGCAAATGGCTGCCAGCATAGTCACAAGACTCCATTTTACTAGCTCACTTAAATCAATGCAGAGCTGCAATGAATCCTTTTATTGAGTTAGGGTGTTTTATTTTGCCACCCCTATTTATTTTCAGTTGAAGCAGATTAAAAAAGGAAGGAGACGCTATCTCATGTAACATAATTAAGCACTACTTGATGCACCACTTTTGAAATGGCCTGAGTATATGATCTGAGTATATTTACCACTTTGGATGATGTTTTACAACACATGAAGTCTAAAGATGTACGTAAATGGAGTAATATAATCTTCACAACGTGTGAACCCTTATCTTTACAAGGAACTGGTATTTGTTTTTCCTCACACCTCAAGACTCATGTGTGAGGATAATCAGACTTCTAATGGTGCACTTTGGAGGTGTGCACTTTTGAAATTCTTGATCCTTCTGATGAAGCACCTGAAGTAGGTTTTCAGATGTAGGAGAATGGTCAGAAAGAGTGAAGAAATGCTTTAAACCGTCTATGAAAAACTAACATCGTATCCACAGCAAAGTAAGTTCCACATCTCCACTGACTGAAAAGATGCTGATTCAAAAAACTGAACACCCTGAAGCTCAAGTGAAGTTTACACTTTCAAATCAACCAATTAAAATGTTTCTAACTAGTTAATCTTCACATATTTATTTATTTGGGGCAGTGCATGGAAAAATAGGTCAAGGCAGCAGCACTCCTGTGACCCTGCATTGAGAAGTAGCTCTAGTCCAGTGTTTTTCAACCTTTTTTGAGCCAAGATACACTGTTTTAATTGAAAAAATCTCGAGGCACACCACCAACCAAAAATGTAAACAAAGATACTCTGTAGCCGCCTATATTACATATATAGTCATTCTTATCAAAGTGTCTTGAATAGGAATCAAATAAACACAAAAATGTTTTTTTTATATCACATTTTACATTTCTTATTTCAAATTGCACGTAACATGTCCACTTCAAAAATACACCTGATCACCTGAACAGTGTCACAACACTGTGGTCTTAAATTTAAAGAAGTTGTAGAAAACTTCAAAGTGTTTTACAAACTATTTCACAAGCATTCTTATAGCCAGAATACAGAAAATAATTCTTATTCTGAAAGAAGCAATAATATTTGGGAAAGATTTCACTGTTAAAATATGAAGATTTGCATGTACAAAATGTCAATATCTGTATATTTTACCCATCTAGTATGATCTCCGTCGTAACTGCTGCTAGCATCATGTGGTTGTTCTGAATGAAAATTAACGCGTTCTTCTTTGATCTACAATTTTGACTTCTAATGATTCACTTCCTGCTAAAGAGCCCCCTGGTGGTTGAAGAAAAATACACAGAAAAGCCGCACCGGGCTACAATCCGCATGGTTCAAAATTTTGGAAAAAAGTAGCAGCTTATAGTCCGGAAAATACGGTACCATAGATGAAATTGAATAATTTCCACTGCACACCTGACGATCACTCACGGCACACTAGTGTGCCGCGGAACAGTGGTTGAAAAACACTGTCAATGGATGGATGTCTGCAGGCATAAAGCTTACAACGTTTTTGCTAAGATTGAGCAAAGAGGAAGCAACATTTTTTGTTAAAAAAAAAAAAACAATCAAATGAAAAGCCTTTTCCTGAAAACATTACCCATGTAGGCTACATGTGGCCACTTGCCACATGTGGCTCATATTTTCAACATGTTATCAAGTATTTTATTCATGTGTTCTACATGTGGTAAACTTGTGGTCACAAGAATACCACATGCGCCCCACATGTGATCAGATACTTTCCATGTGCAGATCATGTGCTTGTGCTCAGTGTCATACCCTGGTCATGTGTTCAAAAGTGAAAGTATGTGGAGCATCTCACACCATGCAAACTGCAAACCCAGGCATTGATAGAATATTTAAGAATCCAACAGTATACTGTAATTATATACTGTAGCGACCCATAGTGAGTTGCTCAAAGACACATTACGAGTCTTGGGTTATTATGAGACTGTTCGTTTGTTCCCATTTTTTTTTTCAGTTTGACCTTTTGTTCCTTTTTAAACTGTTTATTGTAGGAGAGGTATTGGAGAGATGGAGTAGGTAAAGGCATTTCTGCACAATGATATAAGTGTAAGTTCTATTTTGTCTATTTATTCTGTGCTAAAGCTGTCTTCTAACACCTCCACCATGGCGCAATGCAAACATGCAACAATGCAAAGTCTATAGAGTCTGATTCCTACAACACCACATTCCTACAAGAGGAGGTGGACAGAACACACCCCACTATCTAACTTTCTGCCCTTCCAGAAAAAAATCCTATGATTTGACTTTTATAACATTGTACCACGTGTAAACTCGTTTGTGAGCCACAAAAATATTCATGTGTGAAATTATGTCACATGAAAAAAAAAAAATGAAAAAAAAAAAGCACAGGTGGATTTGGAACTGATCATGGTAAAAGAAAAAGAAAAAAGTGATACACCTGTTATTACAAGAAAACAAGTTAATCAGCATGCCCAATAGATAGATAGATAGATAGATAGATAGATAGATAGATAGATAGATAGATAGATAGATAGATAGATAGATAGATAGATAGATAGATAGATAGATCGTGTTCATCATTCGTTGACGATGAACACTGTCCCTTTAATTCTAACGCTGACGTCACAGCACGATGACTCGTTTATTTTGCGACCGCACCGGCTCAAATTCTCTCTGGCTAAAGCTACATCCATAGGCAGAAAAATATAAATCGTAGTGTGAAAAAAAATACCAGAAGTGATGCTTTTTGGGGAATCTTCCGCTCAACGCTTCAAAATGTAATTCAGCCACCAGACGCCTCGGAAAACAACAGCCCCAGTTTGCTTTGGATCAACGCGGTCAGTTTCATGTATGGGTCCTGCAGGCGTTCTTGCATTTTTTTTTTTTCTGCATGCTGCTCTGTATTATTGCTGTGATTTACTTGAATATGCGTCAAAGTAATTCGTAGCTGTCTTATCACACCTGAGAATGCACCGTTTGCATAAGTCTGCATTTTGTGTAGCGTTTCTAACACATTTTTGCATTTACTACAAAAAGCACTTACAGGTTCCACTAATAAACAGTCTGTGATTACTTATGTTTTTTTTTTGTGTGTTTGTTTTTGTTTTTTTCTTTATGCAGAGCTTTGTTGTATACTAAAGAGGGAATCTGGAAATTCCATGAGCATTCCTGAGCTCCTTCACTAAAGCCGGTGTGGGGGCTGGAAGCAGGTCCTACTGTGCCCCCCCCCCCCCCCCCCCCCCCCCCCCCCCCCCCCCCCCCCCGCGCCCCCCACTTGTCACTCCTGTGCACCACTCTGGGCTCTTGTAGCCCCTCCATGCCTGTGATCCCCATCCCACGCAGGGTGCGCAGCTTCCATGGCCCCCACACCACCTGCATGCACTCTGCCTGCGGCTCGGCGCACACCACCAAGCTGGTGCGCACCAAGTACAACAACTTTGACCTTTACCTGCGCTCCCGGTGCATGTACAGCTTCCTGCGCTTCTTGCTGTACTTTGGCTGCAGTCTGCTGACCTCCCTTCTTTGGGTGCTCCTCTCTGCCCTCTTCTTCCTGCAGTACGTCAGCGTGCGCGTCCTCCTCCGGCTGCAGTACAAGCTTTCCGTCATCCTACTTCTGCTCGGACACCGGCGCCTGGACTTCGGCGTGCTCAACGATCTGATTATCTACAGCATGCACATCACCATGTTTCTGGTGGGGGGACTCGGCTGGTGCTTTATGGTTTTTGTGGACATGTAGCTGAGCTGCTGAGAATGTCAGAAAGACTGAAAGGGCGTACACCAAGTCACATCACTATTTCGTCTTCATACACAAGCCATCATGTTTCTGTGTACTTGATCATTGCCTACTGGTTTATTTCCGTTGCTTGTTAAATGTTTTGAAAAATTGTGGAAATAAATTACCATAAAGATGCTGAAATAGCACATAGAAGCTTCTTAAAACCTTATTACGTTCAAGAAAAAAAAAATATCATAATCCGTCTTGTTCCTATTGATTGTGGTTGACTCATTTATTTATTACTCATATAAATAATAAATAATAGAATTTGACTAAACCGACCATAGAGTTGACTGATAGATATTTTAAATGATGGTCAAGAAACCTCATTTGCTTACGGACAATTGCTTTAAACCTTCAGTTGTCAAGGCCGATAAAAATGGAGACATTTTCACGAAACTGTAAGACGGCTGAGAAAACAAGTGTGAAACTGCAAAAGTACAACGTGGCAGAGGAGCGGACTGACCTGCATCCACCTGACCGGCAGTAGTTCCAAAACCCTTTAGCTTCTGACCCGCAAAATAACAATGAAGGAAACTTATGACCCCAAGTCTTGATTGAGCTTATACTTTTTTAATCAAATTCAATTAAACAGAGATAAAATAAGTATTAGATAACAGCTTACTTATATGATTTCAAAGGAATTGCCTTAATTCACTCCTAAGTGCAGTTTTTAAACCTTTTTTTTTCTTTCAAATAATTAATACTTTTTACCATAAGTTTAATTCCTAAAGAAGATCCCATTACGCCCCACAAGTTGATTTGTGGCTTCAAACGAAATTTCATTTTAAAAATGTACTGAAGAGCTGTTAAAACATTTCTACATTGTTTCAGTTCCAAACTAAAATCACTTTGTCTGCCCACATTAAGATACAGACTAACTAATATGACTTCAACTATTTAAGCGAAGACATTTGTTGGGTTATTTTTTAACGGATGGAGGTCTTTGTATGCAGTTGTTTGAAACCATATACATTCAATATGGAAAAACAACAGACTCAAACTTACTAGAAGGGGACCAGCAACTTGTATTTCATCCATTTGTAAACCATTTCATCAAAATAAGTGTTTGTTTTATAAAGCTACGACTTACTATAACAGGAAATGTCACAGTTGCATGAAATGCTGACGTATGACTGTATGATGCAAGTTTGTCTTTTTGTTTCGACATATTTTGAGGTTTGCTCTAAAAGCCATAGATAAGTTTGGCTATAATAGGCCATGTGCAAACAGTATCTTTTAAACATACATCTATATTGCAGGTTAAGTAACTGTGCAGTTATAATATGTCAACCCATGGAAGCGAAAAAGGAGCACCGATGTGTGATTTTTGTGGTTAGTGTGACAAAAGTAAATGGATTTAACATGTTTGTTTTTTTTAAGTTATTTAATAAATATTCTTCTCTGTTGCATTGTTATTTAAAATGTAAAGCCAAGGGAATGTGTTTACCATGCAGTCCTGCACCCATGGTATCATGCCTCGAGCTGTGTCATAAGAGTGTGTGACAGTTCAACTTGAAAACGCCTCTGGGTCAAGTGTCCCATCAGTCGCTCTTCACATGGTCTCAGAGTTGCTCTGACAGACTTCTCTGTTTAGCTTCCTCTGGCACACAACCGCAACTGGACCCCGCTGTTTCTGCCAAGCATAACAATGGACATGGCTTGCTCCCAACAGCCTTATATAGCCTCATTTACACTTGGCATAAAGGAAGCTAACGGGAACCGCTGAAACCTCTGGCTGAGCTGAAATATGCATTTTTAGTGCTTAATTCTAAGGAATTGAGCATTTTATTTAATACAGAATTTGGTTTTACTTTCCTAATTAAACCAAGGGGGAAAAATAGGCTGGAAATTGTTTAAATGCCAGCCTTGGATCTGAACTTTTGACGCTAGCTGGTGGGCCGACTGAGAAATGCTTGAGATCCATTTGGCCTCCGGCTGCAAATGGATAATCGGGGCAACAATAAGCTTTTGTGTACAGGATAAACACATCATATGCCTCATATTCTGAGTCAGGGCCGATCTAACTGCTTGCATGAACCACACAAAGAAGTAGTTTTGACAAGTCATCAGCCCCTTTCATTTCTTCTTTTTTGCTTTGAAAGCTGGAAGTTGTTTGTTTAGTCTGAATGACTTGCCATACTTAATCACTTGTTGAATTTGTTTCTGCAAAAACCATGAACTTCTCACCTTGTTTAGCATATTTTCCATCAAGATTTTGTAACAGTTTTTACAAATACAAGTTAGCTGGAAACCACACAAGATCATAAAAAAATGTAAATAATAGTCTTTTGCGGGTGAAAAAAAAACAACTCGATTTATAACTCACTTTAAAATGGCATTAATGGAGACTAAGAGTATGTGTCATTCAGTTTTACAAGAAAACATTAAAACATTTTTAGAAATATCTATTTGGCAGACTGTAGCACAGTCACTGAAATACAGCAAAAGGGCTTCTACTTTGCTCAGTGAGTAAACTGTAAGAAAACATTGCTAACTATTATGAAATGTCAAAATAAATGTGGTCTCTTTGACACTTTTCAATGTCATAATCTTTCATCTGTGCTTAAAAAAACATTTAGTGCTAATTGGAAAGAAAAGTTTTATTTATTTATTTTTTAATAGTAAAGCAAGATAAACTGAACAAACAGCAAATTATGAAGATGCCACATTTAGCTGCTCTTCGCTAAAAGTAATATTTGGAGATTTGAATCATCTGCATGATCACCCTTCTTACTATAGCGGGTAGTAAAATAAATACAGATCATTATCAAGTCTAAATGCCAGTGGGTGAAGGACATGCACTTCCATCTCACGTCATGTTTATACCCCAGAGAGTTAAAATCTCCTGGATTACTAATTAGACGGCCTATGACATTCTGTTTACATACACAATTGCAGACATGCATACCTTTACCTATATCTGTTCATTCAGATGTTCATAGATACATACTGTGATATATAGACATATCCTGGGATATTCGGGGGGGTCTCAGAGTATGTGTATTAAATTAGGACCAAAGTTATTGATGCTGCTGGTAGATTTAGGTTTAAACTAATTTTTTAGTATTAGCAACATGAAGTGAGATGAAATGTTAATCCTGTTTTGTTGTTCTTAAGCATGGTACAATTTTTTTTTTTATCTGTGAAAGGTGCTACATGGATAAACTTTACTTAGTTACTTACCTACTTAGTTATATTATTGTTTCAGAGTAGTCCAAACAGAGCCCAGAGTTGCATCTAATAAGGAATCTGCATAGGCAGCTAAAGATTAAGGTGATGGAAAGGAGACCTTCTAATTATGAAAACCTAAACCTAAGAGCATATGAATAATGATAAATGACCAAAACAGCCACAGAAATAAGCTAAAAGTTATTACTGTTACAAGAACTGTTTGACTTGTTTGACTGTTGCAATGCGATGCCAATAAACAAAGATTTTTTTTTTTCATTTAATTAAAGAGAAAGGCATGAATTATATTCAATATCCCATTATTTAGTAAAATGTATGTGTTTTTTTAATGACGTTTTCTACATATGAAATATGTTTGTAATGACAGATATGTCTCATTTCCCATTTGAAACAATCTTGGTTAATTGAAAATAATTTCAGATTTAAATTGGTTTTGGGCTAATCTGTAAAAAGCCTACATTCAGACAGACATTCTAGATAAAGTATGCGTATATGAATATGTATGGATAAGGTTCATATATTTATTCATTACATACATATATTCATTGGATGAATACATACATACAACATACATACATACATACATAACTACATACATACATACATACATACATACATACATACATACATACATACATACATACATACATACATAAAACAATGTTGATTTGAGGTCACTCCGCCAGCAGTTGGCGCCTGTAATTTAGGAGAACAACACACATGCGCATCATGTATCCTGGGCTGTCTTCATACAGTGACACGTGAGATACCCACACATGTAAGTGTAATTCAGGATCTCCGTCGTACTCCGACGTCCTATTTACAACGCTTTTTGTGCTTAAGTGCTGCACCAAACACCGTGAGAACAAACTCAGACGTCCTTTAGAGCTCTCTAACTAATAAACAGTAAAGAAGAGTACACCTTTAAGCCCCCAGAGTGCACCGAGTTCGTGTATTCGTGTATGAAAAAAAAAAGAAAAAAGAAAAGAAAGAGAGAGGCGCATGATATGACAGTCCATTTACCGCGCAGACCACCGTTGTACATTAAAGTGAGGGACCGACTATGTCTGCGTCTTTAAGCAGAACTCTATACGGACTGCTGCATGATGTCAGCCTGCTCTCGGTCCGTGCGCTGCTCGTGTGAGAGCCGCATTTTACTTCCTGTACAGGGACAGGAGCGGGCAGAGAAAGAGAGAGTGGGATAGCGAGATGGGGGGACGAGCGGCCGAGACAGGACTAAAAGTGATAGAGTGAGCCAGCGGGACGAGACGAAGGAGGAAACCCGGGGCCTGCTTGTCTCTCCTTTTTTTTTTCTTTTTTTTTTTGAAGAAGAAGAGAAGAGAATCCTACAAAGTTTAGAGGTTATCCAGCCTGCCACATCTGCGCCAGCTGACAGCTTCAGTCTATGGAATAGCGACAAATCGGGTAAATATATCCCCCACCATCACCCTCCTTCTCTTGGCGTGATATACAGTGCCTGATTTGTATGACGCATAGGTTTTTTTTGTTTTTTTTACCATGCGTTACTCTCTCGATTCTCTACCTTTATTTCTCACTCTGCGAGCGGCTGCTTATCCCGACACTCGCCTGGCTCTACATTCAATCATCTGCAAATTCGCAGCTCATCCTTAAATAAAAGTTAACACTCTGCAACTTTAATAAGAAGTAATAGGAGCTTTTTTCGTGGAGGAGCAAACGATCCCCCTCCTCCCCTCCACTTGAATGCGTAAAGCGCGACTGTCGAAGAATTTTTTGAAACTCGTAAAAATCCAGTGTTGATGTTGGACAGCGCTTTAACCTCAGGAAGCAGTGTTGTCATGAGTGTCAACTGTACAAGTGGTAGGATTGGCATGATGCTATGATGGGGCTTACGTCATAATTTAGCCACAAATAAATATATAAATAAATAAATCACCAGCCAGGACGGTAACGCAGTAAGTTGCGGAGTGGCATGTAAGTCTATTGCAGGTATGGTGATAAATGAGGGAGGTGGGTGGGAGGGATTGTCAAATGTCTTCTTATCTCTATTAATGCATTAAATATGAAACTTGCTTAAGAAAAAAACAACAGATAGACAAAGAAAAAAAATCAAGTAAAGCAATCACAAAATAGAGCAAAAAATAATAAATCTTAAATAGGATTATATAGTAAACATACCCTCCCGCCCCCACCTGAAATATTGGTTTTAACTGTAAATTATTCAGAGGCAAGTCTGATTTGTGGTGCTGTTTACCTCACCTGAACTTTCTGAGACACATCAGACCATATACATTCAAGGCCTCGCTCCCCCCTCCACACACACACACACACACACACACACACACACACACTAACACACTTTTTCTTTTTATTGTGTGTACAAGAGTGCAATGTGTGGCTAGCCAGCAAGTAGTTTGTGGCAGTTTTTCTTCATTTCCTGTTAGTGTTCTTTCCTCAGCAAACACTTTCTCTCTATCAACATGTTGTCATTAATGTTGTCTAAACGGTTGCATTTTGTGTATATCCAGAGGTTACTTGGATCCTAATCTTATAAATCTGAGCTTTGTAATTTTATAATATTTTTGAAAAAGTGTTTTTATTCTATATTTTTTTTCAGCATCCTTGTCCCAAATCCCATTTCAGTTATGTCTCCAAATAGCTAGCTTTTTTTCTTTTCCTCCAGAGTTAAAAGATCACAGTGAATAAGAGCATTTTTATTTACTTGTAAGAGAACTTTAAAATCAATATATATGTATAGGTGCACCTAGCTATCCCTAGGCAAGACAAACACAGGTTTGTTTTTCCTTCAAGCCGGTTTTATCATACCCACGCTCAAATACGAGGAAATCATTTCTGGGGATGTAGGCGTGTGCTGCAAAGTTTTGTTTTCTCTCGTCTGACTTTATCACAACATACGTGGAAAATGTGGGAATTTATTGTTCTCCTGAACGGACTCCTTCCAACAGTCGTCCAGCATTGAGTTGGATGGCTGCCATAGAGTTTGTGATTGCTCTCCGCAGCTGTATTTGTCTGTTTGTGGCTGTGTGCATCTGTGTGAGTTGGTGGTGCATTAGCGTGTCCCAGAATGCCCTAGTTCTATAGGCCTCTGAGTTTATGTCATTCCAACGACGAGGCCCAAAGCTGGATGCAAGGGTGGGGGTGTCAAGAAGAGAGAAAAACTGTTTTTTATTTATTTATTTTTACATTTAAAAAGGGTATTAACGATAAAAAAAGAAAAA